AAGGAAAATGTATTGCTATTATTCACTACTTATCCTTCATTAACCTGCCAAATGAGTTATTCAGTTCACACTGACAGTTGTTAACAGATTTCTATGTTTTAATTTATTCTGAATACATATTGAATAGCTTATTCATTGCTGAACTTGTATTCTATGAAAATTTCTAACAGTGACAGTTGAATTAATCAGTATCATAACTGACTGCATGACATTATACAATATCTGTATGAAGAATATAAAGTTTTCTTTTTTAGGGATTTATGACATTTTCTTTTGATTTATATAGGTATAAATAAATTATACTTCATCAAGTTTGACTTAACAACTATACCTTACAGATTTCTTGGAAAGAAATCGACGTTTCATACTTGAAAAAACCATCAAATTCATTAGAATCCACATAACTTATAGTTTTTTTTATAGTAATGATTTATTACCTTCGTCAATAATAAAATATAAACAGTGTTGCCATCATTTATGAATTGCATTCTCATTTATTGATTATTTGATTTCCTATTTCAACTTAACTTTCAAGAAACATTGTGGTACACATCTTTCCCAATCAAAAATAATTTTTCTTCAACAGATATGACACTATAAGTACTCCATATTTTACATTTAATGTAACCTCCATTTAAAATATATGAAATGAGGTCTTTCAGTACTCTCATCCTACGAAAAATTATATATATATATATATATATATATATAGTTTTATTAATTAGTTTGTAACTAATTCTAGGTATATCATGATAAAATCTTCATTCGACCTGGTGAATTGTTAAATTTCAGAGCATATTAATCATACATGATGACATATCTTATAATCTACTTCAAGCATTATTTCAATGTATAGTCTACATCATAAACAAATTTCCAATAATAGTAAATTTATTGGTGATTATCGTCTAAAAATAATAAAATATCAGAAATAGAAGCGAATTAAATCTATGAATTGTTAATTGTGGCATATCATCCACTTTATAATAATCTAATCTCAAAAGAGAAAATATACTTAAACTGGTATCATTGAAAATAATACTGAAGTTTTTATGATAACTATATAGATTTCGAAACCATTTGATGTAAAGTCACTTTAGTCTTAACTAGTTGAAAATACTGACTCCATTTTGAATTAAATGAAACGTTGTCAAGAAAAGTAGACACGTTTCATTCATTCAAGCAGTAGTATAAAAAAACATCATTAGTTATTATAATATAGAAGACTCTTAAAGTTGGCACCTAAGTTTTAGGTTGAAAGGGTACTAACAAAATTATTTTAATAATTTGTAGACAGCATTATCCTGGATAGATATCATTTTAAGAAATATACATGATGTTTGATTTTGATAAGTATCCTTTTAATAAATTCCCATATGAAATATGATCAAGTAATCCTATACTTGAGTAAAGCATATGAATATATTCAAGAATGGAAGTGCATAATTCAATTACATCTACTGATTCATGAAACTATTCCCTAGTAGAATAATTTAGTTGATTCTATACTGAATATATAAAACTAAACGTATTCATGTTATGTTCATATACAAGTAGATTTGATATGTTTATTCTTAATTCATATATCATTATGTACATCATATACACTTTAATTATTAATTGAGATATTTATGATCTTTTATAAAATGTGATAAAATCAATAGTTTCATTTACCAGCATTTCATGAACATAATATCACATAATGTACCCTTTTCTATTCAGATCAAAAACAAGTAAAACAATACATACTATAGTATATTTTATTATAATAAGTACTGTATATCTTTTCTATTTTTGTCTCATTCTACACTAAATCAAATATACACTCAGATTTGTGTTTGTAAATTTTTTTGTTTTTTAAACAATAAAAGTAAATTGTGAATAAATTGTGGATAGAACATTAAATAAGTATCGTTTAACTAAACAAATATATATATATATATAGGAAAGAGTTAAATCAACCTTCCTTCTAAAACCCTACCTTACTAATAAATTTCCATTTTACTACAATCATATATATTAATTAAGCGGATAAACTAAGATATACTTGGTGTAAATCATTTAAATAGATGGAACATTTGCTTCACAACGCATATATATATATATATATATATATATATATATATATATATATATATATATATATATTCACAGGACTAAATGTTAATAATTTAGTACCATACTTCTCATTTTTTGTATTGTACTTCATTTAACCAATGTAAACAGATTATTTTATATCAAGGTTTATAAGTAGTATATGAAATTGTGCCCTTTTTAGTACATAATATAGTATCATCTATAATTTACGGAGTAGGTTATTAAAACTATGCTAAGTACATCTCTTTGACATTAATAATTGAAAATTGTTCATTCTATATATAATGTGTACTTTATTCATAACATATAAATATATTATAGTACAATATTTAATTACTTGAAATGGTTATAATTATTTCTTCTAATTTCCCGCCAAATATTTTTAAAAAAAACACTGAAAATTTGACAATATTTTAAATAAACAAATGAATTGTACTATTTTCATTTGAAATATTATCGAAATTATTTATTTCAACAAATGGTTCATTCCATCTATTATTATCTGTTTGTTTTGTTTTTGTTGCTAAATAATAATAAAAATTTAATGAATGACCAATCGAATAAATATGATCTAAAATGATCCTTAAAAATGAGATTAAACAAAAAGAGAATTAGAAACACAATTGTATGAACGAAGAATATTCCTTTTCAATAATTTCTCATCAGGTTCTACAATTATAAATCCAAATTAATAATCCATAAAGTTGGCCAGATGTAAGGAAGGGTACATCATTTAGGAATTGTAATAAGTGAATTAAGGATTGTTGTTTGTTATATGAAATCAATTCAGATTGTTAATGTTGAGGCTGTTTAATATAAAGTGTTAACTTGAATCAGTTTATAAGTGAAATGAAATTGTTCGATAAATGGTCAGAATAAATATGGTCAACGTAGGGTGAGAGAGAGAAAATAATGGAATAAAAATCAGAAATTACGTATTATGTAAAATAATATGAATTAGGTCAGATATAGTAGATTTAGGGTTGGATATTGAATAAATTCCTCAAAAGGTTATCAAGTGTAAAGATAATAATAATAATAAGTTTGGGACATAAAATGAACATTAGCCAGATTACGTCACCATATTATAAAATTAATTATTAACCAGTTGGCATGAATTCAAATTCAAATTAATCGATGAGACTATAATTTATAGACGATCTTTGAATGACGCTAAACTGACCTTGATAGTCTTCATCTAATAACTCGGAGTAAATAAGGGTAATAAACTATCGTGAGGAATTCTAATTTACAGTTGATAGTTAAGCTTAAGAATTAGGTTTCAGGTTTTCATCACAAACTGACATCAGCTATAATGCCAAAACTCCATTTAACCTATTGGTTGAGTGAATTTCGCAACAAAATCCGAGATCTGTTATCTTATACGTGATTGATTCGTCCATAAATTATAGTCTCGTCCTATTTTTTAGGTGCATTATCGACAGTTTCATAAATAATCCTTAAAATAAACATATTCACATCTATTGCGAAATTAATAACTTTTTTTTCAAATTGAAACTTTCTCTAATTCGTTTGTTTTAAACTATACTTAACACAGTCTAAAACCTCACATAAACTGTCTATGATTTAAGTAAATCACAAAATTTAACTGTTGACAAACTACTTGAACTAATAAATACCTAACCGTGAAACGTATTCTTGGATCTTTTGATGTTTCTTCTTACAGTATGTCTGAAAAAAAGGAAAATATTTTAGACGAGATTTTTTCTTAGATTTCATAAACGTTCCACAAAATAAAGTGGCCACCTTACAACTAGTAAACTAGGGAAGATTAATGAAAGATGTAAAGTTATTCCTAATTAAAAGTATTAAGAACTAAAAATTAAATTATGTCCAATATACTTTGTACTATTGCTTTCAATTTTAAATAAATATACACATTTATGTTTATAATAGAACACAGTTTATAAATATGAATCTCCGATTTCTTGTATTTACAAGTTGTACCTAGACAGGAAGTATCTGTTTTTTAAAGTTCCTTATATTGAGAATCCTTGAAATCGGTGAAATTGTCTTACCTTAATAAAATTAAAAGTTAATATTATCTTAAATGACGATAAAAGCTTTACATTTAGGATATTCTATTTAAAAGATACGAAACTATTTAAACTCATTAACTGAATCATGTACTCCCACTTAGGATTTCAATATCACACTGAAAATAATCATTTGGTCACTAGTGACTAGCTTTGAGAGGTAATTCTCACAGTTTTAAAGAAGTCGTGACCAATCGAGTTCAACCGTGTCAAGTATGAGGCAGTTACTCACCGAAGACAATGAAAGATGGTCACGAAATATCATGGACTAACTGAAATTAAATATCAATACCGCTAGATGCCTTCTCAGTGGTCTAGAGATTAAGTGTTCATGTGAGACTCGAGGTAATGTGTTCCAACCCCATGTGCGGGATCGTGGATTCTCACTGCTGAGGAGTTTCATAATAGGATGAAACGCCTGTCCAGTACGTTTAGGTTTCCAAAGGTGATCTAACATTGATGGGTTCATAATCCAATCATTTCCACAACTCCACACTGTAAACCCATGTCTTTGTTTTATTGAATTTTGTACTACGAATTATTTTCCACAATAAGACAATTTATTGGTTCTGGTTAAAACAGTTTATTAAATAAACAATTAAAACTAAGTATTTATATGATCATCGAATTTGTTTAACGTTACATTAGGGAGGTCTTAAACAAACACAAATTGCTGAAAACGTATTACAATATATATATATATATATAACGACATACAATTCAATTTATTGTATAACCATTATGGTTTGTACATAAAATGTTCACACTTCTTCAGAAGATATTAAAATATGTAAATGGAATTTGATTCTTATTTTATAATTATTTTCTTTTAAATAATTTTAACAGAAAGAGTTGCTATTCAAAAAACAAATGAAGAGATCAGATGAATGCAGTAAGTTCATAGACTATGTGAATATGTTTCTGTATTATTCAATATTCATTTGTACCTTCCAAAATATATTTGTAGAGAGATTTACATATTCAAATACAACCTTTAATAAAAAATTAAAATCAGTTAGTGAATTAATGAAAACTATGAAGCATTGGACAATTATTTCATTTCAATTTTAAACGAAAATTCGATCTGCTTGAACATCTGTGCTACCTGTTCCTGACATCTAGATATTTGAACAAGTTATCTATTTTTGTTTGTTTTAATACATCATTATGTCTATCAGTTGCATAAGTTATGCACATGCGTTTCTGAAAAGCATACATGTCGTTGTACAAGTTACAAAAAACTTAATCAAAGATATCGTGGTTGTTGACAATATGCAGCGAAAAATGTACATTATTTTGATATCAATTTACTGGACCGTTAACTTCTAACTAACGATCACTCAATATTTATCATCATGATCGATCAAGAAATAAGAAAAGGGAGCTTGTTGAAATACTTTTTGCTGAGAATTCTATATTGTACCAAATATATGATATTGAACAAAGCCATTAATAATAATAATAATAATATGAGAGATAATCACATAATTTGAGGTTTTTCTTTAGTAATGCATACTATGGCATAGAAAACATGCTTTGATGTCTTCTATGAAGAAAACAAGACATTTTACTCAAGTTAATTTAATCAGCTTTCGTCAGTCGTTGTATGTTTTATCTTTCTTAAATCACTAACTAGTTTCACTCTACTTCACTATGTATTTCGCAAAATGTTATGACTTTATCAAGTATCCATGACTAGTTATTGAGTAATATATTTCACTGTATCACTATAGAATGAAATGTCTGAAGCAATTTTATTTAAGAAATAATTAATTAGGAAGTATAATATATATTAACATCATGGTAAATAGTTACATATGAAGTGACGGAGTGTTAATCAGTGTTTAGTGACAAAAATCCTTCTTATTAGCAATAAACGTTTATTACATCAAATAGCTTTTAATTAATGAAAACATTTTGGTAGTTAACTTATTCGTTTATATCATAGTATTATTAAACGTACATAAATATCACTTGTTTATTGATTACAGTGGAATTTGGTGATCCTGTATATCATTTACTGCGATGCGCTGCATCTCCTGGTAAGTAAATTGATAACATAAGAATTCTATAGCATTTTTCAAAAGCTGGTTAAATATTTGTTATTTTATTAAATGCAAAATATATGTACGGTCGACGTCAGATGATGGAAATAATTTAACTAAAAATCCTACTTGACTTAGGTTTCTTACTAATTGAAACTTAGCAGTAGCTTATTCCTGTGATCTTGAGGTAAGTGATTGCCTCTTGGGAAGTCAAACCTACGTCACACAGTTTCACATTTTAAGACAAATCAGGGAGTTATTTAAGCCAAGTGCCAAATAGCATGAAGCCCAAGTCAGACATGTTTTCCTGTTGACTACCGCCAACCATCTAACATCTCAATAAAATCTACACGATATCGTGTCACCTGAAATAGTTGACAAACTGTCACTTATTTGATAGAGTGTGGTCAGAATTTAGAGGGATAGGCAAATATTATATTGATCACTTCTTAGTAAATAAATAATAGTAATTCAGATGTTTACCAAACAAAATAATATTTAAATAAAACAACTAACTCCAATATCGGTTAATGTAAACTATCGGTTTTAGGTTAGTTTAATCTTTGACAACACAAACTGATTTCTTCAGACTCTAACACGCATAAAAAACGTTGAAGATTGATGTCAAGTGTTTATAAAGTTAACTTTGAGTATACCGATTATTGCATGAATGTCTATGCTTTAAATTTGAATAGTCTTATCTAAACGAAGCAGCATCCACATTTCTTCTACGTTATTCTAAGTCTGTTATTTTAAATCCAAACAGACATTAGATGCATTCATGTAATTCTTTACTAAAAATATGTTTTATGAGTTCAACTATCCATTAAAGTATCATTAGCAGCTACGATATATTTTGTATGAAATCATATCACATGTTTAATTGTTACATCGTTCCTTCACAATAGCAGTGAGTTAAAACTAAACATTCAATAAGAGTCATTGTTCCATTTCTAATCAAGAATGTAGAAATAATAGTTCATCCGTAGTTACTTTTTTATTATGTTATCGTATAAATATTACACTGGTTGAAATCATGAGTCAATTGAACCTAGACCACCATGAAAAACCTGGTCTAGCTTCAATTGACTCGTGATTTCAACTAGTGAAATTTCTAAAAATCTCCACAAAACCCCTTCTGAATATAAATATTAAACAAATCACAAAATTCGTGTGAAATAAATACTTAATTTATTTACTTGAATGTTTATTTCTTTTCAATAATTTGAATCTTCCTTTTTGTTTAGGTCATCAACCATCAACATGTAAATGTATTTGTCATTTAGATAATGGTGATGAATGTCATAAAATAGTAAGTGAAATGTCTAAACCAATTAATGTTATATGTGCACCAGCAGCACGTAGAAAATCACATTATCCAACATTATCAACTAGTACATCTAATTATTATCAATTCACTTCATCAAATATCAATGATAATATAACACAATCAAAAACAAAATTGACAGCATTTAAAAAAGATAGAACTAATTCAAATATACATCATTCTATGCATCAAACATATGACTAAGGCATAAATTACATTACACATTCTAATCAAATGGTTACTATAAAACCAATCATTACTAATTATGAATAGAAAAATAAACAAATAATAAGTTGGCCAATTCCTATTATGATAAAGTATAAAATTTGATTTCATTCAAATCATTTTCCTTAATTCATCCAAACTAGATTTAAATGGTTGCCTAAAAGAGAGAAAAAAGAAGAGAAAAAAGGAGAAGAAGAAAAAAAAGAAAACAGACAAATAATTCATTTAACTTTTCCATAATGATTTATTTTTGTTATCCGTTTTCTTTTATCATGATGTGAATCAGATTTTATTCGAAATAATTTACACAATTCCTTGATAATTCATTATGTAATCAACAAAAAAGGGAAGTATTAATTCAACCTAATGAAAGATCATTTATCAACATGCATTCAACATTCATTTCCTTCTCTTCATTCATCTTTGTTTCTTCTTTTCTTTTTCTAAAGTCCTTGATTAAAAAAAAACACCAACACGACTACGTTCAGGAATAGAAATGATAAGAATCAACCAGTAATTAAAGCGCCTTAAATGATTCAAATAGATTTTTAGACTATTCATTCATCTTTTTTTAACACTTTCTATTTTTAAAGAAAAAACAGTAAAAAAAAGGATAAAAAAAAGGAACCACTGTGAATATCATCAATACTCATCATATAGATGTATACTTTGTTAATAATAACAATAATAAGAATAATAAGAATACATTCCTTAGTTTTAGTCAACGAAAACGATTATATAATCATTAAAATGTTAATTAGCAAACATAAATATACATGTCAAATTAGTTTTATTTAGGTGTATTATAACATACAATTTACAAATACATTTATGATTTATATGATCAACATATTTACTTTTGTGGTTTTCATTTTCAAATGTAATAAATTAATAATCAAAAGAAAATTGAAAATAAAATAAAAAGAGGTAGAGAGAGCAAAAGTGCGAAAATAAGTCAAGGATAATACGAGATAGATAGATAGATAGATAGATAGATAAATAGATAGATAGAAAGAACATAGAACACATATTTCTCTTATTATTCAATTGTTTCTTTATCTAAATCTCTTTTCTTTAAAAATATTTCTATTTTATACAATAATAACATGTACAAGTACATAAATACCTAGAAGAATTATCTGTAACAGATTGAAGTCTTTTTCCTCCTTCTCTTCACCTACATTTTTCACAATATTCTTTTTTGTAAAATATATTTCTAATTAATTTCAGTTGAGTGAAAAATAATGGACATGATAGAAATTATTAATGTTCAAAAGATTAAAGTTAGTTACAGCCTATCCATTAATCGTCTTCACCCCACCTCTTTAACATCATAAAAACAAATAATCACTAAAGAAAAATATGGATTTATTTGATATGTTACTGTATGTTATTGTTTTTCTTCTTTATTTTCCATAATCTTAATGATCTTTAAACTGTGATTCTTTCTTAATTCATTCTTTATTAGATGTATACACTGGTGACAGAATAAAATAAGATAATCTCATGAATCAGAATACATACACATATATAAAACAATAATACATATACAGAGAAGACTTATATAAATGTTGATTGTACCGTGAGTCAATGATTAAAAATTTCATTTAAATAAAAGAAACAGATTAGCAAAATAAAAATAATACTGATCACTTATCAGTTTCTTCTGAATTTGATCGTATTGGTGTACATTCAGTTTTCAATAAATTCACTGTACAAGATTTTTCCTAGTTTGTAAATGAATCTTTTCCTCTTGTTATCGGTTATTTCAAATGTCTATCATGTAAATATTAAACATAAGGATGAATAAATCTATAAACGATAGGATTGTATTAAAAATACAGATAATGTCTCTCCTTTTCTAAAGGTGGATTTCAATTAACTGAGGGAAGAAAAACATTTGCTCGGAATAAGATGAAAGTTAAGGGTTTTGAAGTTGTTGTATATAAATATTGATGTTTCGTAATTTCGTGAACTTCTCACTAATCACTGATCATGACTACTTTTTATATGAATACTGTTTCTAATAGGCTTTGATCAAGAAAAATTCAGTGATGCGAACAAAAAGATTAAATATATGATCGACGACTATTTATGATGAAGAGAGAAAAAGTAAAGACAGTGAAGTGAGAAATTTGTATAAAGTAGTATATCAGCTTACAGAAGACTGATATTTGAGAGAGCCTTATTAATGTAAGCTAAAATTACTAAAAGTTTATAAGCCTCAATTTAATAAAACTTAGATGGACTCTAAAGAGGAAGAACGTATTTGTAAAGTCTCAGCGAAGTAAATCCAACGTTTTGGTTGGCAATCTGGTTCAAGCTTTTTCTTCCCCTTTTATTTCTCACATCAAATCAGCGCCCAAATACTGTGAAACTATTCGATCAAATTTAAACGAAAGTTCTTATTTATTGTTCTGTAATAGTATCAAATTATCGAAGAAAATGTACATCTGGTATAACTACCGTTTTCAGATTTTTCCTTGAAAAAAAACTTGAACCAGATTGCCAGGCAAATCGTTGGATTTACTTCAAATCCATTCGCTGAGATTTTACAAATATATTTTCCTCTTTAATGTCTCATATCAACTCGACGCCCAAATACTATGAAACTATTCAATCAAATTTAGACGAACGTTTTTATTAGATGAAGTCTATCTGAACAAAAGATGAGTTAGGCATTTTAATATAACCATTATTTTACGAAGTTCTGCATTTATTTAACTAATATAAAGAGTTAACATTTGTCTCTCAGTTTCTATCGATTCATAACTTTATGATGGGTTTTGATGAAAACTATCTTGAGACTAATATAATATATCAGACTGAAATAGCATGTCTCCCATTTAAAACACAAATATACTTCTAGGCCTTCAAGCAATACATTAAAGTTTTTTTATTCTTTAAATCTAACTAAATTTCCTGCTAGAAAATAGCCAGTATTACTTGATTCTTTTTAAAAAAATGCCAAAAAACTATTATATAATCATTATTATTCATTAGCTTTATTCAATATTATATTTTTTGTACAATATAGAATTCTTAGCACAAATTACTTCAACGAGTTTCCGTTTGTTATTTCCTAATCGCTAATGATGATAAATATTTATTGATCACCAGTTAGATGTTAACAATTCAAAAACCGACATCTGAGTAATTTTTATGCTTTTCAATGCATATTGCCAGCAACCACGAATTCTTTGACTGTACGTTATTGTAACTACAACTGCGAAAGATCGTAAACGTTTCACAAACGCCCCTGAATAGGTTATAGAATTAATGGACCTAATGATCTGTTAACATAAACAAGGAAACAGATAACTTGTTGAAATATTTAGATGACAGGAACAGGTAGTCCAGATATTCAAGCAGGTCATCACATTTATTTATATATCCCATTGATCCTAAGAGTAATCTGAGGCTGCTCTTGTAACAAGTGTTTATATTTCATCTGCTTTGAATATATATATATATATATATATATATATATATATTTAGAAATTTTCACAGATTGAAATCATGAGTCAGTTGAAGCTAGACCACCATTGAAAGCCTGGAAGCACCGGACGGCCATTTCGTCAATAGTATATGGTGGCGCAACTTCGTGGATTGATTGAAGTTAGACATTAACACCGTTGGATGCCGGCTCAGTGGTCTAATGGTTAAGCGCTCGCGCGAGAAGCCAGTGGGTCCTGGGTTCGAATCCCGCGGGGTACGGGATCGTGGATGCGCACTGCTAAGGGGTTCCATACTAGGACGAAACGGCCGTCCAGTGCTGCCAGGTTTTCAATGGTGGTATAGCTTCAACTGACTCATGATTTCAATCTGTGAGAATATATATATAATTTCCTTATTTAGTGTCTGTTTATTAAATTATATAATAACTCAACAAACACATTTATTTTAGTGATCCCTACATTAATTATCCTTTTTTCTACTGCTCGATTAATGAAAGTGATTACTGATTATCAGTATTCAATATCTAATGTGTGTTTTTTTGATGATTCAGCCAAAATTGTGCTGATCATGCGAATTAACTAAAATTTGAATACCAAATACACCAATGAGTTCCAATTTATTATCTAAAAGTGTTGTTATCACTATATGATCTAAATGTTCTTTGTTTGATCTATTGTGAGATTATATATGCAAGTAGATATTACTATTTAGATCAAAACAATCATGAGATCATTTCTGTTTTTCATAAATACCCCAAAATGATCACACTTTTATGATGAAAACATTTATTAAAACTATTAAGACAACTGTTTAATTTTCATTAAAATAATAACTGGTCTCTATGTAGTCTATCTCTATGATCTTCAAAGTGAATAATGACCTTAAAATATCCGAGATTTCAATTGTTGATCTGAAAGATACATGTGGAAATACATTTTAATAAGTAACACATATATATATGATAAAAAAAACTCAATAAACTCATGGTGGTCTTTTATCAGTAAACATGATAAGATGCACTTATGTCTAGCAAAAAAATGGGGTTTTTTGCAATGGTAATGAATACCTATTCATATCAAAACTGAATCAATAATCATTTTATTTATATGATTGTTTTTGGTTACCACTTGTCGGTTATACACAAGTTTATAACTTGCTTAAAGTATGTTTATTTTTATATTCAGTAAAAATAGTATTTCTCTATAACCTTCTAGTGTGTTATTTTTTTTCTTCTTTCTTTTAACTATTTCATATCACGTCATTGCACTCCATCTGTATATTTTCAATTTTTCACTTTTCTCCTTAACCACCACACTACTTAAATCATTTAGATAAGTAGATGAGAAAAAAACGAAATAAAATAAGCGTGTTAGTAATTAAAATGAAATCACTATTATATATATAATTAACATTTTATTTCAAATACTCTTATCTTTTCATAGATTAAATAACAAACTGGTATTATAAACTGTTTAGTTAAATTATACTTATACAAGTAAGTGATAAAAATACGGTGATTC